GCTGCAATTTCACAGGTAGATGACGGCAGCAAAATGAACTTCAGCTCCCCATGCCTGAACACAGTGCACAAGGGCTGGGTTGGTAACACTGCTGAGTTTAGGAAGCAAGGCTGTGGAAAGACTGAGGATGTCACTTCTCTGTTGCATGGGGTTTTTGAGCTCTGAAACTATGTGGTTACAACAGATACACTGTAGAGTTGCACTCTGTGCATTTCATCACTTGCAGGCAAATCAGTGTTTGGGGAGTCAGAGCACAGCCACTCTCCATTTGTGGAGCTGATAAGCTATGTCAGTGCTGTCCTTTCTGTTGATTTAAGAATAGTTTCCAAGATCACAAGGAAGCTGTTTTGTTTGCATTTTGCAGGAAGGGGTTGTAGCAGCCACTGGTGAGAGCAATGTGATATGAAAGAAAGCGGCTTTAGCTCTGAAGCCTCTCCACCAGCAACATGCCCAACCAAGATGGAGGCAGTGACAACGTACCCATGTTTTTCACTAGCAAATAGCAGAAACCAGTCCTGGACTTCAGTCCTGGGACTTGGAGGTACAGTTCGCACAGTGCCAGGCTTCAAGAAGAGATGTGAACTTGCTATACTGGGGGGAATCCTCTCATGGGCACTGGTCCAAGGAGAAGCAGGATGCTCTCTTTGGCAGGAAGAGCATCAGGGATGAAGAAACAAGCCTGCAGTTTTGCAGGCAGGTTGATTAGATGGAACTGGCTGAAAACAAAATGCACTCAGCAGGTGAAGAAGGCACTCTGCAGCATGAGACAGACTGCAGAGAAACGCAGAACAGGAAGCTAAACACAACTAAAAATGGAGAATCTAGTGTGGAAACAAAGTTCAGGATTAAGCTAAATCAAATGCCTGATTTGATATTGAAATGTTCTGCAATTTTTTCTGCAAAGAAATCCTGGAATTCAATCTGATTTGAAATCTGATTTCCAAATTTCATCATTTTAGATGAAATCATATTTTTCAAAAAAAAAAGCTTTGCTGAATATATTTCTTCTCATTCCAGTAATTCCCTTTGTCAGCTGAAAGACACACGTATCAGCAAACCCCTAGTTCGCTCGGTTCCTGCCCTTGAACAGGCACAAGCAGTAGTCTGCGGCTTCTCTCTGCCATCTCCCAACCTGACCTGCCCTCTTTCTCCTCACTGCTGGACTTGACAGGTGAAGATTTACTAAGCTTGCAGCAAATCACTCAGTGGTCTCAGCTCCAGCAAGGCTAAACAACAAATTGTTTGGCCTTGATCATAATCCCTCCTTTCCCCATATATTCCATCCTATAGGCAGCTGTGCTGATGCTGTATGAACACCTTGCGTTCTAGACCTGACCAGCATGCTCTGAACTATCGCTTTTAACACATTCTTTATTTTTAACCCTTCCGCATCTGAAATAGCTCACAGTGGGGAAGGACATGTGAGTACATTTTCTTATGGGGGAGTCTGGTTCCCAGCTGCAGCTTTCACTCGGTCAGACTGCATTAGCTCCACTCAGGCCTTATTAATCACAAGACTGGCAGGCCAGCAAAGAGAAGTTCATCATGCATATTCCTAGCTCCAGGGTCTGGACTTTTACAAATATCCTCAGAGAGTCCACTCGTGGTTAATAGCATCCCATCTAAGACAATGTCCTCTCTGTCTCCTTCCTCAGCTCTTCCGCAGTTGGTTAGCAACATGCAAGACAAGTGCCATAACCATGGTTCTTTCTTATCTATTAAGCTGCAATCATATTGCTTAAAATAATTTACATTTTTTTAATTCTATTTTTGTATAGTATAGCCCCACAGCTCTACAGACCTGTAGTTTATGGGGCATCCTGCTCATATACAGATGCTGTAGTGTGTATTCTAGAGAGTTAATCAGAATGTAAATCATATCAATGTATGTCAAAGCCATCGAAAGATCCACGTGACACATAGAACATTTAGAAATAATTTCCACAAGCTTTTTTTCATCTCCCCTTATTCAGCTGTTTTCTAGGAAAAAATACAACTTAAACCTGTACGGCTTTTGGGTTTGTGAATGTTTGCCTTTGTGGCTGTGGGTTTTATTTATGAGGTGCCATTTGAGACAAAAGTCATCCCAGGCTCATACTTTACTAGTTCAGTAAATTTTCCATACTTTAATGATCAAGCTGCATACTTTACTTGTTACTTTTTAATATACTTCAGTGATCATATTGTATAGTGTAATGATCAGTTTTCCTAACGTGCCTGAATGAGTTGCATACCTCATTAATTTAGATACGTACTTTACAGGCCAAAATTGTAGCGTGTTTGGATGAAGTGAATAATTTAACAACCAGCCCTCTCTCAGAACCTGCACAGGAGCCCAGGAATACGTGTGAACCCGGGGTGGGATGAAATTGCAAAGGCGTAGGAAATTTTGGGTTGAACCCAAAATGAAAACATGAGATTTGAGAGCATCTGGAAGCTGAACCAGCACTGTGAACCTGGTTCGTATTTGTTTTGTCTTTTCAAAAACGTTCCCTTGTGGATTAATTTGGGATTTTAATGATGGATTTATCCCTTCTACCCCTAACACAGCACAGAAAACTGTTCAAGGTGAATGCTCTATATTGAAAAAAGCAGTACAGGCTCCAGTCCTGTCAGGGACCGAGTACCTTCTGAAAGATGTGGAGATAGCTTATTTTTTTTGCTAAATTAGGGTGGAAAGTATTTGGGGTCCTGGAGGACTAACTGTTAAAAAGACTTCACGTTAAAATGTACACTCTTGCAGAGTTTGATCCCAGGAATTGTGCAGCTTCTCAAGTTGTTAAGGAGGCTGAGCACCTACTTGGAGGATGAGAAGACATTACAGCAAAGCCTTCCCTAACAAAAGCAGCTACCTATTCTAAAGTTAACAGGAAAGCTTGCTGGTGGGTCAATATTACCTATTCTAAAGTTAACAGGAAAGCTTGCTGGTGGGTCAATATTACAGCACACAAATACATTCTTAAAATAATTGTACAGATATGTTGTATTTCATACAATTGGTCTTTGTGCTGATATCACTCAGTTGAAACTTACTGAATTTATATCGGGATCAAAGCAGGAAAGGGGGAAATGCGGCATTTTCTAACCTATACAAAGTATTCCACTGTTTTACACTTGAGAACCATGTAATCTATTATATCTGTTAAGACTGCATTTTAATTTTAATAAGCTGAAAATATAAATATTTTAAAATTCCCAACTATTTTTTAAATAACTATAATTAAATGTAGTCCTGCCACTGAGGACAAAGTAACAGTTGCACTACTATAAATATTAATGCTAAATTTACAGAGAATAAAATACATTTAAGCAACCTTATAAAATTTTGAATAAAGCTACAGTTATAATAAGCACTTTGGTAAAGCTTTGCCTATTGGTAACTGACACACATAGATAAAGTCTCTAACCTGCTACAAAAGCCTATGACACATTACAAGCATTTGGAACTGTTTATGGGCCCTCCTTCATTCGAAAACTGTGGTCCCTCCTCTTCCTCTTCTCATGAAGCACTCAAGCCCTGCGATTATTTGAAGTCTGACAGACTTTGACTCGGGACATGAAGAGGCTGAGACAGATCTCACTGGTTTTCCAGCTTCTGCTTTATGACACAAGATTTAATCACTGTATAGCTTTATATGGATTTGTTTAGCACAACATTCTATTATCACCATGGCAATAAAGTGGTAGGCTTTTTATATAGTTTTCCATTGGGTGATGATTATTATTTTTCCCATTTTATTTGTGCTTTGAGCATATAGTTTTGAAAATGAAACATAGTTATGTCTTAGAACATAAGATGCAAGTTAATACTTAATTTTTTTTTCAGTTAGTTTTCAGCTGCTTTTTATCCAGCTAGTAACCAGCTTTCCCATGCTTAGCCAAGGTCAGAAATGAGCTGTAAGGTAACGTCATGTGGACTCCTGCACCCTCAGATCTACTTACACCCGCTTCCCTCTCGGTAAGACAGACTAAGAGGGGAGAAGATAGAGGAAAGGAAAGGACAGTGAAATTAAAATAGGGCAGAGACTTCCTTTACTTACACCTTTTCATAATGCTCCCCTTATTTACAAACACAGTAAGGATGCCGCACCGATAAAAGGATGTGATTATGAACTGAAGGTGTGGTCTGCACCAAGTGAACGACTCCAAATGAGGCGCTGTGGACACAAACCTCTGCCACACAAAACCAGCAACTCTAGTTTCATTTGAGTTGTTGCAACATGCATATTCAGAGCATCATAAGACTCTGTCCATGACTGCAGCCAAGATTTTCTCTGTACTTGACTAATCCCTGTGTTTGACCTTCCTGCTACATCTATACTGCTATTATTGTTTGGCACCAAGAACCTGATGGGCTTCCCGTTCCACTTACTTTTCTGCCCAGCCCCTGCCAGTCCATCTAGACAGGTCAGAGATCATTGTGCATATCTGGATATTCCACGTCCTTCATCGCCCAGTTGGGGCAATCTGGCTGCATCCGAGGTCATGCTGCTTTCAGCTTGCCACATGTACAGACCTAAATCTACTTGAGTGCAAGACTTAACTTCTGAGAGCAGTTTGTGAGGAGATAAAGGCTTCCCGGAGTTCAACAGAGATCAACAGAAAGATGTCAATTTTGCATGCTTAGTTAGTTAGCCAGTCTCTTCTAACGCATCAGATCTTACCTTTTAAAAATATATATTAGAGTTTGACAGCTTTTCTTACCTTTATGAGGTGGTTTACGTTTTTCAGGAAAACTTTCCAGTCTACTCTGAAGTCCTCACAAAGGTTAAGGCTCTTGAGAGGGTGCCTCAACTTCTTGTCTGATAATTTAAAGCAGAATGGTCAAATACTCGCTGAAATTCCAGTATTTTAATTACCCCAATCTCTTCTTTATCAAATAGAGAAAATGTCCGAGAAGCAAGAATTCAATTTTTTTAAGCAAACCTAGACATTCCAAAAGAACAGTCTTTTTTAGCAGCCATTTAGCAGTTCATATGGAAATACCTGAGACCCACATGCCTTTTACTTGCAGGTATTTTATACACAAAGAAGTAAAACACATTTCTCAGAACCTTACTTAGTTTGAAGCTGTCCGTTCTTTGGCATGCAATTGTTGAAATAAGCCAAAAATAGCCTGTATTTCTCTGCCACATGTAAATATAAATATGGAAATGAACAACAACCTGCAGTAAAAGCAAAAAGGCGTTATATCAAGTATCCCACATTCTAGAAAAGGTAGTGGGTAAAAAAAGAGGGGAAACAAAAATATTTGAGGGTTGCCTTAAATACTTTTAATTAAACTTACCTGAGCATATTTAATTTCCCTTTTTTTCTCCCCTCCCCACCACCCCTCAAAAAAAAGATTGTCCCTGTCAGGGCAAGTTTGTTTTCTACTCTCTAAAGGACTCGATAGTCCTTCATTCTCATTAGCTTCAGCTCATCCTGAAGGCTTACTTGCTCTCTTCTCGTCCTCCCTTGCACAAAACACCCTATTTTTCATGGGAGTTTTCCAAAGGTTTCCCAGGGAAAACAGATAATGTTTAGCACAGTTGCAGCAGGAGGCATGCAAAAGGGTCGTTCAGATGAGGGGTAGAAATTCCAAGGTCTAGAAAAGTTGTGGGTCACATCCACTCTCATTCTGCCTGGCTGCTACTAATTTACCAGGTCCCCTTGTTTTATTCAGCCCCGTATTTATGATGCTGCACATATAAATCACTGATTCCATGAACGTAAATGAATATTACACCTTTCAAAACTTCAGGTTAAAGTCCTATTAGTCTGCTAACACTATAGCATATTGCTGTAATATGGTAATTTTTATGTTTTACTGTTAGAACAGTTCTAAATAATGGGTTTTAAAATGTATATTTAATGTACATAGACCATGCCTAGTGGCAAAACAAATGCTACTATACCCAAAGGAATTAGAAAAGAACCCTTTGAACACTGGATTCTGTAACTTCTTAATATGAAAGTTTGATCTTTGTTTAAGTACTTAATATCTTATAGGGAAAACAAAGCATTGAGTACATAGTATGCATTGTACTGAGTATGGTGAAAATGAATGAGAAATTATTATACTGACAGTGAGGACCCACCTGAACTCTTAAACTATTTGTTATGAAACCCCAAAGGTCTATATTCAGCTATAGAAATGTTGTGGATGGGATGTGATGGGGTTTTTTTTCAACTGGCTGGACTCCAGGAACTGTGCTTTCAGATGTGCCTCTTTACAACAAAACATTTGGTTATAAGCTTGTGTCGTTAAGAGTCCCCCATCACATAGGCGGCAGCAACTATTACTCAAGAAATTGCTCAGAAGAAAATTGAGAATGTCCTTATTTTCTCACATAAGGGAAATGAGAAAAAGTTCTGCTTTTCTGCAGCATGGTGGACAAAGTCTGGCTCTCCATGGAGAAAACTCCTTGGTCCCTGAAGTCCTATTAACCACCAAATAGTATCCTAAAAGACTAAATGGATGATTTATTCCCACCACAAGTCATTTTCAAATCATACCTTCAGCAGACAAAACTGTGACCTCCTTCTTTCTCAAGACACCCAGGGATGAGAGGACAGATATTGTCTTCTATGAAAATTTAACAAACACTAACATGTGCTCTTGAATTTATCCATTTCTTATTTCAATAATGCAGAGCACAGGAAGCTTTTTTTTCCCCTTACTATGAAAAATGTAAAGTGATTATATAAATATTTCAGTATCCAGTACAATAGTCTATCTGGCCAAAAATGGTAACGTGGCCCCAATATGTTTACAAACGTCACAGGAGTCTCCAAATAGTGCGAAAACAGATTTCTGTAAAGAAATAGCATCTTTTATGGTACTGTTTTTTTTTGGGTGCTTCTACCAGTGACATCCCTATTGATGTCTTTGTTGGAAGCCTGTGTTATTTTTAACTGCAGGACAGAGTCCACAGACTGAGATTTCAGAAATGCAGCCATCGATGACAGGGAATTTCTACCCCCGTCATCTTCCCAGCCAGTGTTCCCTTCCCCTCCCTTGTGCGGGCCGCAGCTCTCCCATGGCCAGGGGCAACTGATCAGGTTTTTGGCATTTTGAAGTTCCCTGGCCCGGGTCGTTGAGCAGGAAGACAAGTACTGGTTTTGGTACAAGGCAGGCGGGAGGACCACACTGCTGGGGACACAGGGGTAGCGACACCATCTCTGCAGGCATAAGCCTGCCTCTGAAGCCATGAGCTTAAACTGGGCCTGAAACTGCATGGGCAGATGAGATGGCTCTACAGTTCTTTGCGACAGCAATGCTTCCTTCAAGGTCTTTTTGATTATTCTTTCCTGTGCTTGAAAACAATCTTACTGTGGCACCAAGAATTATTTACTGTAGAGGCTGCTGCACTTCCGTAAACTCTGACACAACAGTCTACTACTTAATATACAGCATTTTTTTGTTCAGGGATTTTAAAATTCTAGATAGAAGTGGTTATTTTAATTGCTCTCATTTTACAGGTGGGAAAACCAGGAAAGTTGCTGCTCAACAGCTAATGCACCTTATCTGTCTGTGTCAGAATCAAAAGTGGCCAAGAGCATAAATGCAGAGTTTGTTAAAGCCCCAGCTGACAGGTGCTAACTTCTGCAGCCACTATAATGTGCTCACATCTGATCATACGTCTTTATTCTCAGTTGCTACATGATCCTTTCATCTGATAAAACCATAATGCCTGCCTGCAGTAGCACATTATATCTGCTTATAGCAAGTCTCAGCTTAGGAAACTCAACAGAGTTATCTGAAAGACGTCGTGACACTTACATGGTTGGGACAAAATTTACAGACAACTGGAGGAGGAAAAGGGGTTTGGGGAACAGAGAAAGATCCTGATAATTTGCTGTTTGGTTTTTTCCTTTCCAATCCTTACCTTCACAAAACCTATAGGCTTGATTTGATATGTTTGTTTTGTGGAGTTACCAGAATACAATCAATTAAGAATTCTGCAGTTGTGAGAAGATGCTATTTCTACATAGAGCAAGGTTGTTGGTAGCACTCAATTAATAGCAGAAAAGTTTTGAAGCCTTTGGGTTAGTCCTCAGCCAGGTAGAAATAAACAGACATTAAATAAGATGTAGTGACCGTATGAAACTTACCTTGTACAACAAATCATAAGATGATGCAACTATTTCTTTTATCTTAATTAGAGTCTGTTCTAAGCTGAGTGCTGCAAAGCTTGCAGGTGGTGCAGCCTGCTTTTGTCTCTGTTGGTATTTAGATGCTCTGCCATCATCAATTGCTCTCAGGAAATCAAAATAAGAGAGCTTGCTGTCATGAATGCTGATTCCTAAGCTAAGGGAAAAACACAGAATGAGATATCAATGATTTTAAATAATTATCTCACTGTTGTCTGTACTGATTAATTATTGTGATGTATTATTTGTACTGCAGCAGCACTTCAGGATATGCTTGTGCTGTCAGTGTATAAATCCTGTTAGTTCCAGTCCAAGCTCTTTCTCAGGTCTAAGCCACCAATCCTACCATTTAAATGCAACCACACTCTCAGATGCAGATCCAGGCCAATCTCCAGATGCTCAAGAGAAGACCTGCTTTAGCTTGGGCCCAAGTGCACAACCTTCCAGTCCATCAGCATTAACTTTGTGCTTTTTAAACACAGCACAGTATTTTGATGACAATCTACTGCTGAGCTCACCATCCCCAGCGTGGCCAGACGACACGTAGGCTCCCATTCTTGTCCTTGAATCTCCTTTTCATGTCACAGTGTAAACACAGTCTAATAGACTCTGTTGAGTAGATGTTCACTGTGCTAAGTGCTGGTATTTTCTGCTTTACAAAAATACCTTTGACTCACAGATGCTGAAGTGCTGCCCAGCGTGGCCAGACGACACGTAGGCTCCCATTCTTGTCCTTGAATCTCCTTTTCATGTCACAGTGTAAACACAGTCTAATAGACTCTGTTGAGTAGATGTTCACTGTGCTAAGTGCTGGTATTTTCTCTTGACTTTCTGCTTTACAAAAGTGCTGCTTAAGCCTCCCAATATGTCGTGATCATTACAATTCTGAGAGAGAGAAGCAGAACCCCATACAGCCTGGTAAGCTGTTACCAGACACAAGGCTAGGACATCCAGTACTGCTCTGTGATACATTTCATGCATGTACTAGGACAGGTCTATACTCACTCATGATTTCTCTACCACATGGGAGAAAACCAAACCAGGTTCCATACAATGCTTCTCCTTATGTTTGTGATAGAAGGGCTTAGCTTCCCTCTCAACCTGCATTTCACTTTGCACAACTTGTCAGGGCACTAGAGAATTATTTTACATGTTCTTGGCAGGACTGAGCTTCGCTGTCTCAGGCACTGGCCCTCCCTCCTTTGGTGTGTTCACTGAGCTGCCCAGAGGGCTGGTACATTTGGCCCAGCAGCCGCTGCCATTGACTCATGGTGCGTTGTGTCCGGTGAGGATTCCCCTTCTGATCGCTTGTGGTCAGGCCGTACCTGGGAGCCCAGCCCGCGGGCTCCGCAGGCTGAACTCATAACTTGCCGAATTTCTGTCTGTCAGCCGAAACATCTGCTGGATCACAGACACCAGGGAATTTCATGTTCTGTCACATCGGAAATTCAGTGGGTTACAGAGCTGACTACAGATAGCTCCAGGTAACAACAGTGAATATATTTTTGCATCAAATATCAGCATGGGGAAAGATGAGCTCTTACATATGATTTGGGAATATTTTTTTTTTGCAGAGGACTTTGTTACCAAACTAAATTAATTTTCATTCAAAGATGTTTTACCATAAAAATACTGGAATTAAGGCAAGCTTCACATATACAGAAAATATGTGAACACAAAAGTTATTTAGCATAAAAAATTACGACGAATAGCACTTATCATTACATGAAAAGCTACTTTCCTCCAATGTCCTGTGACTTGCGACCACTTAATGAAAAGACACCTGGTATATTTTAAACAAGGATTTCAAACCTGTCTAATGAGCCTGTAGAGTTCACCACCACAAGGAATACAATAGCAGGGGTTTGTTGTGCTCTCACTTACCCAGTGTAAAGCCAGTGCAGTCAGTTTGTGGAATTTCCTACTGCTAAAAGACAAGAGATACTCTGGACTACAGTATACATTAGGTGTTTTTGATCCAGATCCATTGGCTCCCATGGAATTATTCCAGTTTGACCTTAGAGTTACCATCTATGGAGAGGTTTTTAATAGACTTCAACAATGTTATAACCAATTATCAGAACTATAGATTCTTTACATGCACATATTAAGTAGACAATTCTTATGCTGCAGGGGAAAGGCTGGATTTTTTTTAGTCTTGCATTCAGCTTTTTTGTTAGAATTCTGGTCAAGGCAAGTCCTAGAAAGCCAAGACTTGACAGAGATGGCCCCACTACAGAACCCTGATTTTCTTGTTTAAAACTGAATTACTGTAACATACTTTTATCATCTGTTTCCACAGTAAATCACTGGGGACCAATGCCTCAGCTACCAATCACCAGAATATCCAGTTACAAGAATGCCTAATTAATGGGGAGAGCCAGTAAAACAAAGAGGAAGCTTTATAAAACAGGCTGGAAAAGAAATTAACTATAGACCCCATATCTGCTGGTAAGAAAAAAAATGTTCAAGAGCCCTGATTTTGCATCTTGCAGCTGCACAGCACTCCCACATACTACCCGTGTCAAGCTGGCTCCGATATTGGAGACAGTATGTGGAAAAGGAAATAATCAACACCATTTCAGCAGAGAAATAAATTGCCAAGTGGGCATTAAAATTTTAGTAATAAAACTAAATGCATATGCTAATCTACTCTGTATTATTTAGAAAAGACTATTTTGGATCAAGAAAGGAATAATCTGCACAAAATTACAATGAATGGAGGTGTTTATCATCAAGAGGTCTTTGAGAAAGAAACAAGCAGCAGATTCATATTAAGGTTTCAATTCATAAAAAGTTGATCGCCCAATTAAAGGTGAACTGTGAAAAGACTTTGTTAATTTTATTTCAAAAAAAGTCTGGTCTGGCAGGCTCTGGAGAACAAAACCCAGTGCTGCCAGGCATATGACCTTTGGGGGACTGTTCGGTGCAGAGAACTGCAGTACTTAATGTTGGAGCAGGTCCTTTGTGTTCTTCAGCCTCTACAAAAGAGGTTTTTCTTCTTACTTATATTAACACAGAGAATTAAAAGCATAGTTTTTGCATGGCAGCAGCATTGGATCATTTGAAAATTATTGCTATTTTATAACCTGATTTAATTCTGTTTCTATTTTGAACAGGATCTGTTTCACACACTTGATCCATTAAATTGAAGTTAAATAAATAAAACAAACTAGCAAACAAATACACATACTCAAAGCATACTTTTTTATGTAAGAAGCCATTTCACTCTCACTACCTGCAGAATCAATACATTACCTAAAAAGATTTTTCATGAATATGAACTTTTAAGCATATGAGTGTATCCTTTATATATTCTTATACCCTTAACACTAAGTAGAAGCTTATAGGCTTTGCTGGGTGTGCCCAAAGAGGTCCTTAGGAGATAACCATACAAACCTGTTCAGAAGACTGCTCAACCGATCGTGATCAAGGTAATAGTTGAATTCTTGTAGTATCCTGTGCAGGTCACATACTGTTACATAGCCACCTCTATTTTTATCTTTATGAAAGGCCTTATTGAAATCTTGGAAGTAATCCCTAAATTTATCCCTGAAAGAGAGCAGATGTTTATTTTAGCTCTTTTGTTAAATACAAACAAATATACAAAATAGGGGTGGAGAGACAGAGAAAGATTTTGAGCTTATTTGTGTGTGGTAAGTTCATATAATTTATTCAAAGACTGCCAAATTGTTCACAAATAAACCTCACACCCAGCAACCCCCTCCATTTAATTGGCACATGGAATTGCATGGCTCAAGCCTCCCATTGTAAAGAAATGCTACTTGGGTGATTAACTGGCGACTCTCCCTGTTCAGAACTGCAGATACAAAACATAGTTCCCTCTTCTAAAGCCTGTCCTGATTAGAGTTACAAAATGTTTAATACAGCCGTTAAAATGATAAAGCTTTCTGCAATTTGAGGCTCCTGAAACATTGACGTAGTAAGAACAACTATTTCAGCAAAAACAGTTAGACCTGACCAAAACCTGGAGTGGCGCAGGGCCCAGTCCATGCCCAAGGGAAGAAGTGCAGAGCTTCTGTTGACTCATGTGGACTTCAGATCAGCACCTTAAAACCTCTCTGAGATATTTATAATTTCTTACACATGATTGAATTCAGGTCTCAAAATCTTGACTCTTCCTCCCACTTTTCTTTATCACTTCTATTTCACGGACATCAGGGACCTCTTGATCAACCTTTGGAAACCCACGCAATATGCCTCTCTGCCTCTTGGTTCAACCAAAGCCTCTCCACATTTTGGCTCAAGAGGACAAGGCAGGCACAAACATCTCTCATTACTGCATGTCTTCAACTAGCAAAGTGGCTTAAGATAAATGTAAGTTAAAATAGCTGTGAATTACATCTTCATGCAGATTACCAAGTCTACATAAATTATCTACAAATATTCAGCACTTACAAGATGCTACCCTTATGGCAAAAATGACAGGTTTGGATCTGGGTTAATACCTACAGCCGCACTGCATTTGCTTTGGGATTGCTCTTTCTGACAGCCCGGGGGTACAGAGCGTGGAGGCTAGGTTCTTTAGAGAGTCAGGATTTGTGGTACAAAAGGCTTATTACAGTGATAGCACAGTTCAACAGCGTAACCCACATAATCAGGCACGATTTGTTGCCTCAGCCACTCAGCAAGCCTGTCCATGGATCTAACAGCTCACACCAGTTCACTCTGCTCCTTGTTAAGCCACCGTCAATCAGCCAGCACCCGAGCCTTACATTTTCTCCTTCGTATGAATACCACGCAATCAGTTGTTATAAGGCTAACATGGGACATGCTAAATTTCAGACGCTTTTTAGCAATACTCAATAAGTCTTTTCAGAGCTCTACAAACTCTCACAGATCTCCTCAGAGACGCCTGGTCTCAGCTCCAGTTACTGCTGCTGTCACACAGCATTGCCAAATCCTTGGGTTTCCGCTCGTTTTCAAGAAGCTATAAGTTCAGTACAGCCTTTACAAGAACAATACATTTTCTTTGCCAATCGTATCTCCTAAGAATCTGTCCTTTTGGAGTTTGCCCTTCGTATGAACAAAGAGTAATTTCCCTGCAGCCCTCAGGGTCCAGGAAACACCATTGTGTATGCAAACAGCATCACCTACCTTAAAAAATCTGAATTATGATATGACTTAGGTGGGTTGTTAGCAATGTATTATATGCTTCAGACTGATTGTACCTTCGACTGTACTAAATTGGGAGTACTGGAACTCTCTGCTTAACCAAATTTCAACTGGCAAGAAACCATTTTTCAATGGTATTTCTCTCAAGTTCAGTGAAAGCATGGATCACTTCTCAGCTTCACAGCTTGCTCGAACCATCTTTTAATGGTTTTAACTCAGCTCACCATTGTATTCCTGATATCTGGACATCTTTCATTCCTTACAAATCATTTCAGGTCTAAGCTGCTGAACAGGGCACCATTGCTAGACAAAATTTCTGGCTCTGCTCTCTCAGTCTGTGCCTCGAATCGTGGTGTTGACAAGCACCCTAGAAACACAGGCCACGTATTTCCATTGATTATTTTTTTACTAATACTGCCTGTGAGCCATCTTTTGAAGACTCTGTCTGTCTTCTGGTGCCAATATACATAAGGCCAGGAGTTGTCTTTATGAATGCCTTTAATTTGGGAATTCTTTTCCCAGATTTACAGCCCAGTATGTCTATTTTGTGTAGTGACTCAAAAGCTACTTGCACAGATTGCCTGTGTGATACGAACTCTCCTGTAACATTGATGTGCTAACAGGCCTCTGGACACCCTTGTTATCTTTGTGGGTGGCATAGTTGTAATGACTCTGTTTTATCTTGTTGACAGTTAATCCTTTATGTTGTTTCTCTGCCCTTACATTTGCATTTCTGTCTAATCCTGCTTCTCAGGCCCTCTTGGATACTTTTTTCAAGATTCCCTACTGGTTTTCTCTCTACTTGACATCTTCAGTATCTATTTAAGCAGACACACTTGCTTCATGTGAATGGCTTTTCCTACACTTTCCTATGAAAACTCAAGAATAGACTTTAAGCCTAAAGGAAGTCTTCGAAAGCAGAATCGCCTATACAGTGGTCTAAAAATGCATAGTGTTAACCTCCTGTCATGCAAGGAAGTTTGCCTGGATCCGGCAGAAGAACCTGAATTTCTAATTTTTGTAAAAATTTATTAATATTTGTAAAACCACATGCAGTCCTTTAACCTGAAAATATCCTTTATAGGACAGTGTCTGTCCTGAAACATATACATGGATGCAAGAACAATCTCAGTGACATGTCTTTTGATCTTACTGTAGCTAATTAACTCTTCCATTTTTAAACTTCCCACTGTTACTGCCACACAATCTAGCTCCTTTATGAGCTTCTCTCTCACAACCAGAGGAATATTCCTAGCAGCACACATTGCTGTGAAAATACAGCTCTATATTCTGTCTACTTTCTCTCTGACACTAAAGATTTCTGGGTACTGATCTCCTGTGTTTATGGTTCCTTCATCAGACTCACTGCTTTAACCAAGCCCAGGGGTAGGCATATTTTAGAGCAAATATTAGCTCTTTCTGCCTATAAACTTAAACTACTGTGTTTATCTTCGCTTTTCAATTCAAGTTCATACAATCCTTTAGTAGGAATTAGCTTCTCAGTACACACCCTCAGTTTCAATAGTCCTTCTTCATATGGAGAGATTCCTGAGCCAGATTTTTTACAGTGCGCTTGGAGGTAACATTGACTAAGCACCAGTTTTGAATTTAGAGGTGTTTATTCTTACTCTGCAGCCTCCTTGGGCAGCTTTTGCAAGGAATCTCTATGCGGTATTTTGTTGTATTGTTGGTTTGAGCACCATCACATAGATCTGGGGATACGGAGGGTATATGCTTTTGCTTCTGCTTTTCCAGTTGCAAGGTGTCACAAAATAACTCTATTTCTTATAGCTGCCACAGAATTTCTAAACTCCTGGGCATAATGTGAATCTGTTAATTTTCATATATTTCACTTCAGCTACTTCTTGCAGATAGCTTTGAAGAGTCTCTTCAAAACTCTCTTAGTTTCCTTTCCTGACAAACAGCGTGTCTGATATTTCCATACTGTCCCTTATGACTGTCCTAGCTTGACTAAACAGATTTTTCTATCTTTCTTTTTTTTTTTAGATCCTGCCTTACTGGGATCTTTTCTTTGGGTCTTTGATGCCAATCACTATCTGATCCTTTAAAATGGAATCTCTGAAAACATCATAGCTACTTGACTGATTAATTATTTTAAGATCAGCTAAAAATTCTTCAAAGGATTCCTCCTTCTGCATTCTCATAAAGTTCAAGTTTCCTTGGGAGTGCAATATTCCTTCAACTTACTTTCTGTAGCTGCATGGATTGCCCTCTCACCCTGGCTTGGTTTCATGCCATTAAAAACTTTGATAGCTCCTACTCCTGTAATATTCCAGAAAATAGTTGTGAGCTTCCTTATGATTAATCTAGCCACTGTATATAGGTTTCAAAGCACGATGTGAATCTTTTCACAGTAACTACAATATTGCCAGTGTGTTTTAGAGTCTCTAAAAGCCCCTAAAGAGCTATCACCTTTTCTCTCACTTTCAAATCTCTTTTTTCTAGTTAATTCCTTCCTCTTTTTCACATTCTGCTCCTGTTACCATGTGGTACTTGGTTTACACTCAAAGCAAGACTTGTATTGGAACAAGCACAGAAGTATGCTGCAGAGGGTGCACATCAGTCAGAGTGCACTCACACTGCACTCAAGCTGGCTTTACTGTCTTCAATCTCCATGTCTCTAATTACTGACTAACCAGCTTAGACTCGTTCAACCTCCTCTTAGATATGAGACCCTAGAGATCCAACATCTGCTAATTACATCTCTGAGTTTTAACTTTTATTATGTTCAGAAGCCTACAGACTTTCCAGCAGAGACACAAATCTAAAATCTCCTGACAGAGGGTTTGGGGTTTTTTGAGTGACTGTAACATGCCACAGCTTAAAACCCACAGCTTCACAGTGACTGCCAAGGGGCAATGGTGGAGGAGGATTGGTGCTGAGGCCCAACAAGAGACCAAGAAATTCGCACCTAGGAAGCAGGATACAGCAGCCTAAAAGCCAAAACCAGCTGACTACCCTCAGGGTGGTTTGTGATTTCAGTGAGAGATTGATCTCCCCCAGCCCTGGAAGACTATTTAGCACTGCTCCTTCCACCTTGCAAGGGCATGTTTTGAAGGTGTGATATGGTTCACGTTGTACCCTCATTGCAGAAAAATTCTGGAGCCCTTTTCAACTGTATGTTACTTTTGGTGCCACTCTTCATCACCACTATCAACTTCCATTTAAACCTTCCCAACGAAAGTAAAGGCTGAAGTAAAATCAAAACAGTTTTTGAAATTCATATTTTTGGAAAATTGAGGCATTCAACATTTTTGGACTGATAAAAGATTTCCAAGCAGTAATTATTCCATTCACAGCAGTAAATATGTGCGTGGGGAAAATGAGGATTAAAACCACAGATCAAGTTACAATGCCAAAAAATAATATTTTCTTGCAAATGTTTTGTATTTTTCTTGAAGAGCTGGAGAGCCACTGTTCAATGTCTGTTTCTAATTTAGGCAATTTGTTCCTGTGAGTTACAACAAAAGCGAAAGGGGAAAAAAAGTGCACAGCAGTGTGTTTTGAATTGTAAGATGTCCAGAGCTTTTGTCTGCCTCACAGGGTGTAATCACAGGGCACTGAAAACTGCTCCAAAGCTGTTAGGGTGAGGTTCACAGCCCTCGTGGAAAGCCAGAAGAAAGGACACAGGCTGGATGCAACCACTGTGCAAATAGAAATGAGAGGGCTTACACAAGGTCCCAGAAAGGGGAAAGGGTGCTGCTCTCAGTGCTGCTGAAGTGGGTCCTATAACCAGCAAATTCACACCTCAGGCAATTACCTCTTCCCAGTCTGAATTTGACAGGTGAAAGGAATCAGTTTTCTAACTCATTGAAATGAAGTGAGGGCTGAGACCCACGTGGATCACCAGGGTTAGGTTTTGCAGCCACTGCATCCATTTTCCTGACCTAGAGCAGATCTCCTTATGCTGACCTTTACAGTAGGAGGGCATGGTGCCCACCTGTGCTTGCTCTATCTCAGCCATCTTATGAGGTCCTGGAGCAGAAGGCTGACACTTGGCTGGATCGCTGCCTTCACAGCCACCACGCAGGTGGATTTCATCCATCACACAATGACTCGGCTTAAAAGTCATTTATGGCTTTCCAGGGCCTTACGTGAAATCTGAGGAGTTCAGAGGCCTGGATTCAACTCCTCTTGCACTTCCAGCTTTCTAGAAAGAAAACCAGACAGGAATGGCTACCACAGGACTGCTCCCACCAGCCAGGAGGTGGGTGAGGAAGTGTGGGAGACAAAAAGAGAACATTCAGCAGAACTGAAAGGTGGCAATAATCAATACCAAGACATACTTTTGCAGACCATAAGCAATTAAGCTGTGAACTCATTCCCAGACAAAGCTGCAGACGCCAGAAATCTCAAAAGATTAAGAACAGAACTGGATGTCCTATATATATAAATCAAGAAAAGCAGAACCTAACAAATAATTAGAACATCATTTTTGAAAGGGATCTAAAAGTCCCATCTGCAGGCTTAAACCAAACTCTGTCATTGCCCAGGATGAGACAGTCCCAGTGTAGGGGGCAGGATATTCCATGTCCATCTATTAGAAGGCTGCTCCACCTCAACCAGAAACATCTGGCTCTGGTGGCTGGCAGGTAACTGAATGCAGTTATACTTGGCCCAGTATGCCAATTTCTGTTTTCCTTCAAATTACAGTTAAGCAATCTCTACGCACTCCTGTGCATGTATTTGTGTATATAGTTGCCATACGCATAGTTCTGTGTATAGTTGTTGTTATGGTAGGTTCTCAAAAGTAAATAATTCTCAGTGATGTGGACCTGCCAGCATGTCACATCATGATTATTTTATTTTTACCCGGCATGTCTTCCTCATTGATTTAATTACTCTCCAGCTGCTTCAGGATGAGTATTTGCATCTTTGAGACACACTGCATAATTTCTGCTTGCAGCACAGCATCCTCCCTACTTGCAGAGCTGCTTCTTATTTATAGCACTGGGGGCAGGGCCACCTTGCACTTCGTGTTGCACTAACAGGAAAGAAATAGAAGGTTCCTGACCAAAAGAGCTCTTTGTCCAAGTGTAACAACTAGACACAACAGGCTGGTACAATACATGGAGCGGAAGAGCCCAGTATGAGACAGGGCCTGAGTTTCACATCAGATAGTTACAAATACAGTAATAAGCAATGCCTACAACACAGGAGCTGCCTAACCATCTCTGTTGTATATTATGCAATTTTTTACAGGTGGAATACTCATTGATACCTGTGGGTGCCATAAGTGCAGTTTATGCCAGAGAGCTGCAATGCAGCTGGGAGAGTTGTGATGCTGAAAAGAAAGGACAGTTTTGCCCTTGGTTCCTTCAGCTTATTTGGGATACTGAAAAACAGAATTTAAAAAAGCAGGGTAAAAAGGCAAAAGCCTTAGCTTACAGGCTTCTGTCTGTGTTTTGTGGGGTTTTTTTTTGTCTAATGATTTCCCAAGCTGCCTCTTTATCTGCAAGACAAGGCTGCTCTTCTTTGTTTATGAGTGTATCACCTTTACCAACAATGTCATGGGGAATTATCATTCTTATCAATAATAATTTATTAGTTCCTACAACTTCCAGACACTTTTCAAGCACTAAAGAAAGCAAATCTGTGCTCTTGGGGGTATAATTTTACATGTTTTTTGTTCCTGAGGGCTTATACTCCTAAAAAAAAAATAATAATAGAAAAAAAAAACAGTTCAGAAGAGTGAAAGCACAAGCAGTAAACAAGATAAGCATCCAGGTGGTGTCTATCCACAACCTGGAAATATAAAGTTATAACAGCACTGTACTGGGGCAGAGGATTCTCCTGCTGCCTCAATCTGCTGGCAGGCACAGGAATCCTACAGCAGCAGCAGGCTAATCACTGCTGACTCGCTAGGGCAAGCATGGATCGTTAGACTCCACTCTAAGTTGGATATCATTTTATCATTTGTTTGTCAAATGCTTTTCTTGGGAGCAATGACCTATTAACTCTGTGAGTGTTGATTTTGTTTGAGGCACAGACTCTTCTTGCTTGGAGACAAAATGCTTATTTCTGTCATATGGAGCCAAGGTCCATCCTTGTCAAGGCTGGGTTTTGCTGCACCTACAAAGCCATTTACTAGCAATTTAACTAGCTGCTAGAGGGATGTGAAACCAACTGTGATTGCTACTTGGCCCTCATCCAAGGGACAGGGTAGGATATGAGACCACAGTGTCCTACATGCCCACCCAGTCCAGCTGCAAGAAAAGCCGCCATTGAGCATAATCAGGTGGGTGAAGTCTACCTTGCCTGAAGCAGCCTGAGAAGAGACCTGCAGGGTGACAAAACTGCAGTTGCTCTTCTCCCTCAATCTGAGTTGATAGCAATGTGAGGACTGGAACCAGAAGCTGAGCCGATACCAATAAACAGGCTAGGGAGTGCTCCGGGCGCAGAGGCCAGCTGGCACATCTCTGCTAGTGAACCTTCTTAGCTGCCGAAAGGGAGCAGCTGCCTGCAAACTGCCTATTAGGAACGGTCCTTGAAGCATTCTTGCTCCCAAACAGAGCTGGGAGTGATCAGGGAAAACATTAGCTGACACAGGCCAAAGCACAATGAGGACCGTTTTGGCAGTCTAGCAGCATAGATGGCTGAGTCTGGGAATGTCTCTGGACATTCTGATTTGTCAGTATAGATGCTGCCATAAAGTCTGTAAATAAGTAATATAAGCCATGGAGAATATAACATTTAAAAAAATCTCACAGTGCACGCTGAGCTAGGCTTATCTCCAGCAAATCAAGGGAATAACACTATGGATAAGCTTGGTCCAGTACCTTCTGAGACTCGACTTTTCAGAGTCTTTTTTTTGTAAAGTTACATTTATATTGTACACAGTGTCATCAGCTTTAGTTTGCTGTTTCTGCTGCTCTTGCAGCTTTGAATGCTTCTTTTGTTGGTTATTATAATGTGCTTGTAAATTTGCATAGCTGTCTTCTGTGATGTATCTGCGGAGCCCTGCGTCAGTGTGTGCAAACTCTATCCCCAGTTTCTGTAAAAATTCTTGGTAAGATATCCTTTTGCATCTGTATCATACCTTGAGAAAGAAATGCTCTTTTTAAATATTAATGTGTTCCTCATAGAAAGGCATTACAGATGTCCTTAAGTGACTTAACAGCTTAAATCTCACTGAATTCCCTTCCTTACAGAGGTGCCACACCACACTGAGAATAAGTGAGTGACTTCACATGAGACTTGAAAGATAGGGCTTATGCATTGTAATCACAGAGTCGATTCTGAAAATACTACCCTGAGGACCAAATTGTCAGGAGCATTCTCCAGCTCTCAGTACTGTTGCCTTTCAGTGTCTGGCTTGAGATGCAGAGAACTGGGCTCCTAAAAATCCAGTCTCAAGTGTCTCAAACTGGTCACACAAGTCTGAGATGCTCAGAATTGTAATAATCCTTCAGAAACTTAGGTTTAGCTTCACAAACACTTTTCATATTTTCTTAGGTATAAACCCTTCCATAGGCTTTTTCCCCTGCAGTTTCTCCCCCTGCTAGTGCTCCAGTGCATGGTAATTCCTAATTTAGCCTCAGTTTCACTCTAATTCCTTTATTCAAGTTACGGACATATCAGGCACATAAGAGATTTTAGCTATTTTATAAAAGGAGTGACTGATGGGAGTAAAGTTGTGCAGCAGATAACTGCATGAAAAGGATACTCTTCAATGTGCCATGGCATCCATAAGGAATAAGAAAGTAAAATCTAATGGAGTAGAAAATAATTCAGAGATGAACCAGTGCTAAGAAAAATCTATACAGTTAATGCAGTTTGAAACCAAAATGCAATACACTCAGGTTCTATATGTTAGAGAGAGTGATTTTTTTTTAAATAGATGTATAATGAAGGTAGCTTTTTACAGAATGTCACATACAGCTGACATCTATGCTATTTCAAATACAGTTTATAGCACAGCTCCTCTTTGTTGAAGGCAGACAAGTATTTTCCTCCACTTCACAACAAATTACTTGTCTATAAAAACATTTCATGATATTACTTGCCATCTTTACACAGCATGAAATTACCTTACTTTCTTTTGTTATGTATTTGGTATGTAGCATTTTTCTTTCGACTAAATCACTTTTATTTAGGTTGAAAATATTGTAAGTAAATTTAATGCTCTGAAAAGGAGAGGCTGGTAGCACTGCCTTCAGACAGATAGGCAATGCAAACTGTCCACAGAGCTCCTTGGCGGAAGTTTTGCCTGCAGTCCCCACCTGACCCGAGACACCTGGAACTGACTTTCACCCATCACAAACTGAGGAAGGCTTTTGTGAGTATAAACAAAATTGATGAAAAACAAGTTAATTTAACCAGTGACCTAAGGTGCCATCCGAGAAGAAATCGTATGTTAAATTAAAAGGATCAGTAATACTGAAGCCAAGAGAAAGTCCTGTCTTTGAATTCATTGGAAACTGATGGATCTATTCTTGAGCTTAGTATGATAAGACTTAGCCTCCTGCAACACAGTGTCATGATCTGAGGTCACAATCATAACAAAATAAAAGATTTCTGGTGCAGTGTAATCCATGGTCATTTGCTGCACTATCAAAGGCTCTGTAATCCTATAAAAGATGCATTATTGCAAGAGCTAATAATTTAGAGTTGTCATACCTCGGCCAAAGCTGCTTAAATTCTTCTGGGGTGATTGGAATGCCAATCTGAACAAGACTGTCTTCAAGTCCCTTGGCTGTGTAATGCCATTTCCTTCACTGTCAAAGTCTTGAAAATTCTGGAACATAAAAGAAATCATCATTAACAAAACCCAACAAGTTTGACAAAACGTTTGATCTATCTGTAAGCTTAATGAACAATGGGAATTGAGAAAGAAATGGAAAGTCATGCACATCTGAATTTCATCTTTTAATGTTTTTTCATTTGATTTTTACTGTTTCCTACTTTCTGCTATGGATGTGCAATTCTGAAAAGCTTGAATCAGGTCTGACATCACAGGTGTTTACATGATGCACTCTCTGTGGACAGCTTCTTACTGATGGCAAACACAGGGGATATGAGCAGGAGAAGCACGCATGCAGCTGTGGGTATGCCCACCGCTGAAGCATGCCAGCGGAAGATGAAGGCACTAGAAAATGGCAGATCTGCAGATTTTCTCTCCAACTTGTTCTATACCTAATATGAATTAGATTTTGCTTTGGGTTTTGGTTGGTTGATTGGGTTTGTTGGGGTTTTTACCATTCATCTTGCAAACTGGGACAACCAGTACTATTGTCCGATTTACGCAAACACTTAATGAAAAAACTGTATTCATTTTTCCTTGTGCTACTCCATTGTTCAAATATTGCAATAATTCAATAAGTCAAAAAAGATAAAAAAGTGGAAATAATTTTTAGAGGACAGTTTTGTGAGAGTCTCTTTGGATGGTGTAAGCATCACAGTCAATGCTTCACTGTGCTGGGCAGCACTGAGTGCCAGCATAGGAGTAGGCGTGTGTTTGTGTACAGCACGTAGTCAAACAGGCCTCAGAGGACGTCCATTACTACTCTTAGAACAGAAACACTAAATAAAACCAACAATAGTAAAATATGAAGAAAGTTTTAGAAATAACTGTAATAGCATCTGCTACATAATCAACATTACAAAAATTGAATATTATTCAAACTGTTGATTATTTTTTTAATCACATAGTAAGTTTTATCATTAATGAGCTATTTTGCAAGGGTCTCTGAATATTTATAGAATCTGAAGATCAACATTGCATAATGTACTGAAATCTATTAGTGCTGCTTATTTATTTAAAGAAAACATTCTTCATACCCTTGCTAGGTCATGCCATCTGGTTCTTGCTTTGATAACAAGGTAGTAATGAGCATGATCACAAGCCAGCTCTGCACCCATTATCATCTGGTTCTTTCTCAGAAAAGAAAAAAATATAAACTAACAACTAAGTATGTTTTACGTTAGTGGGATCTTTAATCTCCACAACTTTCCTTCCTCTTTGTTGCTCTTCACGGTAGTGGTGGTTTTGTTTCCTAGTTTCTAAGTTACCCATTAAAGACTGTTACTTCACATCTGTATAAACTTAATTCTTTAAATACTGCCTTATATCCCCAGCCGCAGGTTAGTGAAGATGTTTTAAATTTTGTAATTCCCTATTTATTTTCAAATCAATGTTGTTCAATTCACCCTGAAACTCAAGAGCCAGCATGGATCATTTATACACATAGAAGGAAATGTTAATTATCTCAGAAACAATTACATCCTGGAGTGAGTCCAGGAAAATTATCCTTGATTTATATCAATAACGTAGATCAAAACTATCTTTGTGAGTCACCAAGGCATGGCTAGTAAGTCTGGGGAGTAAGACCCACATTTGCAAATTCAGCCACCATTACAAGTACCTAAATTTTGGGGGTCTGGTGCTTCTGGTTGCATCCAAGCATGTGGAGGAATATGGGAGCCTCAGATTAGGATCCAGCCTAGCTGTCGCACTACACAGAAAGCTGACTAAATCTGCATGCTATGCAACGACACACCTACTTGAGAATCGAGGGGACCTTATGTCTCACCATTCTTTGAAACAGTGCACCTTCCTTCACCGGAGAAGAGCATCCCTTCTTTTGGTACCCAATTCTCTTTAGGTTTTCTAAGCACTTCCAATTAGAAAACTGAGGAAAGGCTGGTTATTTCTCTTAAGACACAGCTGCCCACCTCATGCTATGTCCTAGCTCCCATTTCTCCTCCAGCTATTGCTTTGTAAGGAAATGCTGC